AAGAAACACATAAATGAATGGCTTGTGCTGTTTCATTTGCAGACCTTTAATGCTACTAGAAAATAAGAATAATGCAGAAAACAAGCAAATCGCCATTGATAGTGATTCCTGCCATTGTTAGTTAATTTTCTGTGGTGAGCTGCTGTTTCATCCTGAAGTCTACGACCAGAAACTTGTTATTGTCTCTGGTATGTTATCGAATGAAGGCAATAATAAACTTCTGTTATTTTCAAATTGCTTCAGTTGTATCAAGGCGGCAATCTCATGAAGATTCAGCATAATTCCACATCATTCACAAATTGTACCAGAGAGTTTCTAGTTTCTTTCAAGCATAATTATCGAAACTGCACTGATTTAGCGAGTCGATTTAGAGGCCGATGGACCGGGCCAAGTTTGTTTTTAAACCAGATTGGAAGTTGACTGGATCAAATCTAGTTAACCTGATTAATTTGGTCCTGAGTAATTATTGTAGCTCTTGTGAATTCTTCAGGTTCAGTCTCTACCCTCTATAGTTTTGGTGAACCTTGGAGCTGTTGATCCATTCATAAGATCTTTTATTTTTTTAAAAATCTTAAACAGTCTCAAGATCACAGATGCACACAAAGAGCAGACAACCAGTAGTGAACAAGAGAACAGGAAATTTTACATCGGTTCAGAGTAAAAGGAAACTTGCATTAACTAATTTAAAAGCTTAATGTTCTTTGCCAGTGAATCTTTGACCATTTCTAGCACCACGTGAGATCAGACAACATGTCACATGTTGGCTGATAGATCACCTCATATGTCATCAGGTGTTCTATTCTGGGTCAAGACTGCTGCAGCCATCCATGACTTGCTACACTATTTGCTGGACTGTAGATCTTTCATGACGTTTAATGCTGCTTTGACCCTCTTGGGATCACTATATATGCTTTGTGATAAGCATGGTTCTCTCCACTGTTTGCCTGTCCTCTCGTCCTGATCTACTATGGAGCTATTTATCCTGGCTCTAGCTCAATTTATAGGTCCAATCTCTAACCTCCAATAGATTCTCTGTCTTTCTTGGAGAAAATCTCGAGTGCTGGTTCTTGTTTATTGTTCAATGAATCTGAGTTCTGATTAAAGGCCTGACTCATAATGTGTGTAAATTCTGTGCAGGTTACTGTTTTGGTTGAATTAGGTTCTGTTTCATTGCTGACAGAGAACGTAAGAATGGCTTCCGACAAGAGCGAGAATTGCCTTGGTTGGGCAGCTAGAGATGAATCAGGAGTTCTATCCCCGCATGAGTTTAACAGAAGGTATATAGGCATATTGATGATACCAATATGCCACGTCGGCTAGAGTCAAATGGGCCAACATCATCACATATGACAGTGATAATGGAAATCCAAAATAAAATAAAAATCTTGTACTCTAGCTACCAACGCTTCGATTTTATTTGCGAATATTCAACGGCTGACTCTTGAAAATTCCTGCAGCGCTGTTGGGAAAGATGAGATTTCAGTAAGAATAACACACTGTGGAATGTGTTATTCTGATGTTCTTTACACCAGGGGTAAATCTCGGAAGTCACTATATCCTGCAGTACCAGGGTATGCCTATGATCAGCAAGAAATGCTTTCTCTCTCTCTTCATACAACACACAAAAAAACAAATATGATGGTGAATTTCTTATATTTTCTGCTATTACTGACATTTTTATGATGCTTCGACTCTCGTAGCCATGAGATAGTTGGAATTGTACAAGAAGCTGGATCTGATGTTCATCGCTTTAAAATTGGAGATCATGTTGGGGTGGGAACTAATGTATACTCATGCAGGGATTGCGAGTATTGTGATGATGGGCTTGAAGTGCACTGTGCAGATGGAATTGTTACCACCTTTAATGGTGTTGATGTCGACGGCACCGTCACTAAAGGAGGATACTCCAGTTTCATAGTTGTTCATGAAAGGTATGCATGCTTACAGCCTACTTAATCTTAGAAGTTCATAATGTGTGAAGCACCAGTTACAAAAATGAATTTCTTGGTTTTTTAACAGATACTGCTACAACATACCTGATAGCTATCCGCTAGCTTTAGCAGCACCGTTGCTGTGTGCTGGCATAACAGTCTACACTCCCATGATTCGTCACAAGATGAACCAACCCGGAAAATCCCTTGGGGTGATTGGACTAGGTGGCCTCGGTCACTTGGCTGTGAAGTTCGGCAAGGCTTTTGGACTATTGTCACAGTTTTTAGCACAAGCATGTTGAAAAAGGAGGAAGCCTTGACTATCCTTGGAGCAGACAACTCGTAGTCTCCTCCGACAAGGAGCAAATGAAGGTAATCAACCGAAGTGAATTTTCACTTGCAGGGTTCAGGGATCAAGACTTGATCATGGATAAATGATTCTTATTTGCAGACTCTGGACAAATCCCTGGACTTCATTATTGATACAGCATCAGGTGATCATATATTTGATCCATACATATCCACTCTGAAGACTGCTGGAGTCCTGGTCTTGGCGGGCGCTCCAGATGAAATCAAGCTGAGTCCTCTGAACCTCCTTCTAGTTAATGCGATTTCCATGAAACTAAGAAAGACAAGATAATGTCAGTCTGCATGTCAGGATTTCGATTTCTTTAACCCGGGCTTGCGCTTTTCCTGGCTGTGGCAGGTATGACAACCATTTCAGGAAGCGTATTGGGTGGCACAAAACATGCACAAGAAATGTTGGATTTTTGTGGTAATCCCAAAATCCACCCAGAAATAGAAATCATACCAATTCAGTCTGTGAATGAAGCCCTTGAGAGGCTGATAGAGAACGACGTCGAGTATCGATTTGTGATTGACATGGAGAACTCCCTCGAGTGATATACAGCACTCCCAAGGAATGGCAGTGTCATGAATGAAAACTCTTCTGCATTCAGTTCCGCTAGTTTCTTTTGGCAACAGCCTGAGAATAAAATAAATAGCTTTGCATCTGCTTTCAAGTCTAAAATGTGAACTCTGGTTCTGAAAAAATCATCTTATATTTGATATTCAATGATTGTTTTGACTATTAATATAAAAATTATTCTTATAATCTTATAATTAAAATTTTTAAATTGAATTGTTTTTTTTATATGATATCAAAACCTTAATTTTCAAATCTTACCACTACTTAGACAATAATCCAAGATCATGAGAATAAATAATATATATTCATCAATCATGTTATGTTATGATGTATGTAATGAAGACTGTCCATGCTTAACAAATGGCTCTAAGTACAAAATAAACATTGTTCAAAGCTTCATTTGTTAAATATACATAAAAAAAAAATAGTCATTAAATATTCTAAAGGCCTCCATTTATAACTTCGCTTAAAGTCTCCATTTACCTTAAGTCGGCTACGAGGAGAAGAGAAAATTATGAAAGGATGTATTAAAAAATTATTTTAATTTAAAAATTTAGATGATTAAGTGAACTTTTAAAATATAATTTATATTATTTTTTAATATATTTTTTAAATAAAAGTTTTTTAAATTTAAAATTTATATAAATCTATATTATTTTTTATTTTTATTAAATAAATAGAAATGACGATATTAAACTCGTAATTATTTAGTTATTAAGGTTTTGATACTATATTAAGGTATCATCTCAACCTAATAGTTTAAACTGTTAGATGAGACTTCAAAATATTATTTATATTATTATATAACAGGAATAATTAAAAAAATAATTTTTAAAAATAAATATTTTTAACAATTTTGATTAAAAGTATTCACGGTTTAATTTGGTTTGACTCGTACAAAAAATTCCAACCAAATCAAGACATGCAATTTCTTAAGAATATAACCTAAAATTCAAATTCAATGTTAAAAATCAAGAAACCATGAAATTTCTTATTTAGACTTGGAAATATATTTAAAAAATTACCTAAAAAGCCTTGCTAACCACATTAATATCCATAAAATATTTCTAAATTATACGGGAAGAACATAAAATCAAGTAAAAAAAAATCAACAACAATTTCAATAGTAATATAAAGATCCGTAAAGCTTAAAAAAAAAACTCAGCATCCCTCAAGTTCAACCCTAGAAAAATACAACAGTAGCCGAGAATTAATACAACTTCATTGTAGCACCCTTTACACAATACAATTAATTAATTAATTAAAGAGAGGTTGCATGAGTGTGTTGCATAAAAATTGTACCCTTAAAAGGAACCTCCCTTGCTCAAGTAGTAAGATCTAAGTTTTTTTAAAAAATAAAAATAAAAAAGAAAGAAAGAAAGAAAAATGAATTATAAAAAGAAGAGAGTGAGATAGAGATGCTAGATTGTTTCAACTTTCATGTTTCTAACAGGTATTTTTTTCAAGTTTCAAACAGGAAACGAAAACATGAGAGATGATAAGGGAAGGGGTGGCTGCTATCAAAGAAAAGTAAAATGTGAAAGTATGGCACAAGGTTAGGTTAAGTAAGCTATTTATATTTTTTTTCTGTTTAAATATCACTTAATTAATTTGATTTAGTTTGAATCGATTGAATTAGTTCAGCTTTTTAAAATTAAAATCGAACATGATTAAGTCATTTTTTTTGGTTTTTAAATTGTTTTTTTTGGTATTTTTCTGGTTTGGTTTATTTAATTTTTTTTCATTTTAAATTGTTGATTGTTTTTTAATACCTCTATTTTTGATAGATTAAATATATATATATATATATATATATATATATATATTGTATCAATCTCTCTCTCTCTCTTTGCTGAAATATTGATAATTACAGCTTAAAAACAACATATTTTGTCCATTATATATAATAAAATTAAGCGAAGCTTAAGACTTTTATTTTAAAAAATAATATAAATTATACATAGAGAATATGCAAGAATTGGAAGAGATTGGGCCACGTGTTGTTGTGTGATTTTACTCCCTTGATCTGAAGGATCCCATGACGTTTGCAATCCATCATCAGGTCCTCTTTGAATTTTTCTTTTTATCGTCAGACTTGACGTGGTATGCAGACAATGGCCATCTTGTGGTCGCTAGCTATATGACGGTGGGATATCGATAGCCCTCTCCATTTCTTGCCCCTCCCTTCCTGTTCTGCCTGGAATATCTAGTCTTCTGCAGGTCAGTTCTCGACTCCCTGTTAGTTTCTTTCTCTAATCTTTGTTTTTCTGATAAAATATTTTCCAAATTCTGACAATGATTCTCTTCACTGCGAAGTGTCAAGATTCTTCTGCCTAATCCATGAAGATTGGAAATCCTTGTTGCTTACAGGTTTGGTTGAATTCAACTCTGTTGCGTTGCTTGCAGAGAACTTGGAAATGACTTCAGACAACAGTGGGAATTGCCTTGCATGGGCTGCTAGAGATAAATCAGGGTTTCTATCCCCATATACATTTAACAGAAGGCATGCATACAACAGAGAAAGCCCGTGTTTTTTCTTAGGCAACTAAGCTTGAACTGAGTGATTGGAGTTAAAGCACCAAACTGCATGGCCATGGAGCATTGCTCAGGCAATTTATTTTCAAAGTCAAAATCAACCACTAGGATTGTATACAGTGTATTTCAATATTATTTTTTATGGTTTTGTCAGAGCTTATTATCAATTTAAATTTTATGCAAGAGATTTTAGTTGAACTTGCAGCCTAATGGGAACAGGTATAAATTTCGATCCCATGATTGCATCAAGCTAGGAGATTCTAGAGTCTATATTCCCCCTAAGGTCTGATTTTTAGGCCTAGAAGTTACGGTTTAAGATTTGTCATATTTTCCTAATTAATTTAGGATTCTTTTTTCTATTTAGTTTAGAATCTTTTAATGCTTTTTACAGCCTTTGTTCACGATGTTTTTCCTAGTAGATGAGCGACAAGAAGAGCTTTAATAATTGGAATTAGAGTTTTTGGCAGAATTCTGTCTTTTTGTGCCTGCTATACTTCTTATATTGTTTCCGTTTGTGTCAGGATGATAATTACTATATTCCAAATTAAATTTTGAAATATTCAACAACTAATAAATTCTTCGAGAGTTCTGCAGGGCTGTCGGGAAAGATGATGTTTCACTCAAAATAACACACTGTGGGATTTGTTATGCTGATGTAGCTTATACCAGCGGGACATTTGGAGAGGCAATATATCCTGTAGTGCCCGGGTATGTCATCATCAGGAAAGATCTGTCTCATTTGTCATTAAAAAAACTGCTCTTAGGTACCTTGTATCAATGTTGTAATCATGTTTGTGTTTGGCATAGCCATGAGATTGTAGGAATTGTACAAGAAGTTGGATCTGAAGTTCAAAGCTTCAGAGTTGGAGACCATGTTGGGGTGGGAGCATATGTCAACTCGTGCAGAGATTGTGAGTATTGCAACGATGAGCTTGAAATTCATTGTTCAAATGGAGTAGTTTTCACCTTTAATGGGTTAGATGTGGATGGCACCGTGACAAAAGGAGGATACTCCAGTTTCATTGTTGTTCATAAAAGGTACGTGTAACTTGAGTCAAGGCCACTGAGCAAGTTTCTGGTGTTAAAAATAAATATAATAACTTTCTTGTTGAACAACAGATACTGCTACAAAATACCTGAGGATTACCCATTATCCTTAGCAGCACCTTTACTGTGTGCTGGGATAACAGTCTACACTCCTATGATTCGGCATAAGATGAACCAACCTGGAAAATCTCTAGGGGTGATTGGACTGGGTGGTCTTGGCCACTTGGCTGTGAAGTTTGGAAAGGCTTTTGGGCTCAATGTCACAGTTTTCAGCACAAGCATGAGCAAAAAGGAAGAAGCCTTGAATTTGCTTGGGGCAGACAACTTCGTGGTCTCATCTGACAATGAACAAATGAAGGTAAAGAAGCTCAATGAATTTTCGGGGATTCAAGGATCGAGACAAGAAATTTACCAGGTTTAGTTTTTGTGGTGTTTTCAGGCACTAGACAAATCCTTGGACTTCATCATCGATACAGCCTCAGGGGATCATCCATTTGACCCATACATATCAATTTTGAAGACAGCTGGAATCCTAGTTTTGGCGGGAAATCCAAGTGAAATCAAGCTCGCTCCTTTGAACCTTATTTTAGGTAACGTGATTTAAATGAGAGTAAGGAAGGCAAGAAAAGCTTCATCAAGATCCCATCAGTACACATTTCATTAAGCTGGTATTGAATTGTCTGACTGTCATAGGTATGAAAACCCTTACCGGAAGTGCAACAGGCGGTACCAAACAAACTCAGGAAATGCTGGACTTCTGCGGTGCCCACAAAATCTACCCCGAAGTAGAAGTAATTCCAATTCAATATGCAAATGAAGCCCTTGAGAGGCTAATCAAGAAAGATGTCAAGTATCGATTTGTGATTGACATTGAAAACTCCCTCAATTGACATATAGCATCCCTAATAAAGGATGGCAGGCAGTCTTCTAGTTCTCCAAAGTGGAAGGCCAGATCATCTTTTTCGTATCTTATAGTTTCGCTTGGCAATAAACTAAGAACACGAGAGAGTAATGGTATTTGCTTTCCAATCTTAAAAAGCGAAAACAGCCTTTGAAATGCATGTTTCTGTTGCACTCCGGGTCATTTTCAATATGCAATGCCAATATTATAGTAACATGCTCAGCACAGATTTTCCACTTATTGGATGAAGAAAGTTTGATTACATAACAATTTGTGATTCATCATTAAAAGAGCATAAAAACCCAATGTGTTCATTTTATTAGTTACAGATGACCTACAAATTCAATCAGCAAGGCATCCTTGAATCATACACCCTTTTCCTCTGCCACGATGTACAAGATATTCCGGCTTGTCCCCAACTATTTCGGTATTGCAGCTTGGCCATCTTCGTCGCTGTTATATAGCATATCCATAACCAGGAAGAAAACAATAAGTAGTTCAATATTAGACATACCTCTATTGACTTCATATAATGGGTAGAGTACCGTGATAAAAAAACGGGTAGGTATAACACAATCCAAACTTTCCTCAGTTCCTGGCCACACATTCCAAGGCACACTGACAGATTTTTGTTCTGTGTATGATGCAGCCAAACCATTAAAAATCGGTTCAAAGGGATGCATGGGGTCTTGTCCCGGAAGACACAAAGGCGAGGGTGTTGAAAAGTGCAGACATGGAATTCAAAGCAGTTTTCAGCACTTCAGGGGAGCAACCTGGTCTCGCCATTGTTTTCACCTGAGAAGAGATGCACATCCAAACTGAACATTGAACAAACAATAGAAAGACACAAAATCGCGAACAATAATCACATTCAGATTTAAAAAATTCTGATAATTGGATCTAAATGACAGCACTGATGACTGATCCAAAAAAAGGGAGAAAAAAAACATTTGGTATTATTTATGTGCATGCTATACATGGTTATAGAGAGCAAAAACTTACCATGTCAAGGTATGCGTGCAACTCCTTTATTTCCTTGATATATTCTTGGTCTTCTGTTAAAATACCATGGCCGCAAGCCTTCTTGTCTAATCCCGCTCTATCCAGCTGAACAGCACCAGTTTTCCCATGGACATTGTCAACTGATCTTCCAGCAACTGCTTCAGTTTTCTGTTAACAACAAAATGCTGTCACGAGCAGCAGAAATGAAATACATTCTTCGCATGGTTCAAGACAACATCTTGCTCTTACAATAATATCAGTTAGCATATAAGCCAGGCTGAAGCCACTACCTTTTCATGGTCCATCATCAAAGAATCCAACTTCCCGACACTAGAATTCCACGGTTGCATGACCCAGTTCCACACAAATTTATGTAAGAATTGTTTACTACTTCCTGGTCCAGTTGGCCGGAAGCTTCAAAACAGCTTGGTTTATCATTCTTTTTCAATAATTCATGCCCCCATCCCAAAGCATATAGTCAGACAAATGACCTTAACATTAACGTATCTGATACTTTCCAACATTCAAATGAATCATTTGAGGTAGAAACAACTCCTTGATTACCTTTACCCATGTTGTACATTAAACTCTACGATAATCTCTCATTCTCTAGCAATATGACAAAGAAGAACCAAGTTCAAAACGTTTGGAAACTATTACTACTAGTAAGTTACAACCAACATAAACTTCACCAAAAATCACACTTTCCTGTGAAATTTTTCATTTCGACTAAAGCTCTAATCTTAAAATAACAAAACATAGTAAAGCAAGTCAAATGAACAGCAAATCCTAAGCAATTGTCTAAAACAAACAAATCCCATAAATAAAATAACATAGATACATGATAAACTAACAAAGCATACCATGTCTATCTCCTCTAGTTGAGCAAAGTTGAGTTCCTTGTCTTCCACCTGCAAAATAAAAAATAATTGATGATGTTCACTGGGAAGAAACTACATAACAAAAAAAAGAAGACCCTTTTGCTTGTAAAACAGTATCAAACAACCAAAGTTGTCGCTAAGCTTTTCTGGGATATGAGACTTACCAGTGTTTCAGTTGAGCCACAGCCTTGAAGCGAAGAAGACAAGGAATCCATTCTGTCTTTGAACTGTTTTCTTACAAACTGAACGGGAAAATAAACTGCTATGGGTAAAGTACATGTTGACCCCTGTAGTCTTATAAATATTTTACTTGAACCTCTATTTTTTAGTTTTTCAATTTAAAGTATTGTTTTAAAAATGTTTCATAACTTGACTGCTTATAGTTAGTTTCTAGCTAATAGAGGACCTACCTTACAAACAATACAATTTTTATGGGTTTTAATCAAGGCAGACAATAAAGTTTGGTTTCGGATTGATATCGATGCCTGCCTGCCTGCCTCGGAGAGAAAGAGAAAGCTTCGTTTTCAAGAAATGCCTTTGCTATTGTCTCCCTCCCCATTTTTCTCTGCTGGACTGCTCCCTCAACTCTCAATAATTATCGATTCACCATTTAAACCCGCGTGTCTTATTTTTTCTTTCTTAAAAAAAAAATATCCGGTACACAAGTTGTTTATATATGTTTTTTATTTTAAATTAAAAAATTGAAAATATAAATTGAAAAGGTTATGTAAATTTGATGAAAATATTTCATAGTATAAAATAAAACTTGTATCGATATTTATTTAACTTATTTATTTAAATAAATAAAATATAAATCTATATTTTAAAAAACTTATAATTTAAAAGATAAATATGAATAAAATTAACTGAATAAATCTAAATACATAAAAAAAATATATAAGAATCATGATCTAAGTTACGAAGATAGGATAAATTTATAAAACAAATTTAAAATAATTATAAAATTAATATTAAAAAAATCAAAGCATGACATTCATCCGGTGGTATTATATGCGCCTCCTAAATAGTGCAAACATCATCCAAGTGTTGAGGTGTGCCAAGCATGTTTCAAAAACTTTAAACATAAAAACATTAATAAAAATATCAAAAATTATCCTTTATGACCTTGATAATTATATAAAATACTCATATGAAAGTACAAAAATACTCCTAAATGCTAAGCCTGTGTTTTGTCTATTCTAATGTTAAAAATATAATTGCACTGTTCATTAAAATTCCAAAATACCATTATTCAGCAGTTCAATAATTTTTTTGACTTTGGAGACAAATATATATTTTTATTGTTAAGAAACTTATGCAAAATCAGTAAAGTTTTTGGTCAAGAGTTTTATATTTTATTGATTTTAAAGGCGAAATAGTATTTTTACAATTGATTAGTACTTAAAAGTGCATTTTTTATCAAGGTTTTATGTCATCATTTTACATTTGAAGTATGAATAACTCCTTAACTAAAGCATGTTTTATAATAATATATCTAATAATATAAGATTCCTTTAATTTGTGGTAAATATTCATTTTAAATGCAGGCATATCACATAAATAAAAAGATTGATTGATAAATTTAAGAACTGAAATTAAAAGGACAAAGAGATGGTCAAACTTAGAAAAGAGATGTCGGTGTAATCCAAATCGGAACACTGTTCGGTAATTAAATCATATCTGGAGTTGTAGATCTCATATTTAGGTCTACTTTATATGGATGGAAAGGTAAGACATATGCCTACAACTTTCATATGGAGCCCAAGACTTAAAAATATCATTTTCAAGTCCAAATTGTAGCAACAACAAAGAAGTCCGAATCTGTCTTCCAACCCGAGCACTGTTCAGTGTTTGACCCATATCTGGAGTTTTAAAAATCCAAATGACCAGAATTTTTTACACAAAAAAAGCTGAGATAATTTTCTACAACTTTCATGTTTTCAAGTGGCTCTAATATTAAAGTTTTGGGCAGACAAGAGAAGATAAAGATTGTCACCAAGTCAAGAGTTGGTCACCCACTCATTAATTAGTCATCAAATCAATAATTCTCAATTTTGGCCTATAAAAGGAGACATTTGCCATGCATTTAGGCATCTTGGTTTCCAGATTAAGATCATGATCTTACTTTATTTTTTTGTATTTTTTATAATGTTTATGCTTTGTTTTCATTAATATCAAATTTATACCTTTTATTTCCTTTTATTTACTTAGTTAACTTTTATCTTATTTATGTTCTTGTTTTGTTTATTTATTTTTCTTTCATTTATTATATCTAATTAAGTTTATTATGTCAAGGTGAAAAGGTTACGCTAATGACGTAAGAATAAGTATAATGTAAATTTAATATGGACTTTAATGTTTGATACTAACATGTTTTGTATTTGCTATCTTGTTCACTCTTTAATACTTTGCTTATTAAATAACTAATCTAGATTCATGTTGTATAACACTTGGTATAACAAATACTTGGCACTTTCATAACTCATACTGTATAGTATAACCGACACCTGAGCTATGAAAGGAACTTGATTTGTTGTTAACATAAGTTATAATCATGAATACCTGACGAGATTTACAAGTATTAGCATTAATCAAATAAAATAACTAGTGTGATCATGTTAACAATTTATAATCTAATTAGAACCTTCTTTGTGTGTGGTTTTAAATTAAATAATAAGAATTTATACTATACTTGTTTGACATACCATTAGTGGAATCTCTAACCTTGACATTTGTTATTATCATTGTTTAATCCTTACATTAATATTCTATCTCGAAGTTCTCATCTTTCTCTTCCTCTTCTCTTTCTTTTTCTTTATTATTATTATTATTGTTATTACCATTATTATTATTATTATTATTATTGTTATTACTATTATTATTGTTGTTGTTGTTGTTGTTGTTATTGTTATTATTGTCATCTATAATTTATACATTTAACCTCCCTGTGGTTTGACCCCGGTCTTGCTGAGTTATTTATTACTTCGACATTTTTGCACTTGAGAGAAGATATCAATTTTTTGACCGTGTCAACTATGCAAAAAAAATAAAACATCAATACCCCTGCCCAAGAGGCTTAATTCTTTTAGACCAAAGAGCAAGAAATTTTTTTTATTATAGTTTAAGGAATATTTTGATATAGATTAAGTTATAATAAAACACTTAGGTCATTTAGTTTTTTTAAGGTAAAGTCCCCATCTTTCCCTTTTTTTCTCTATAATACACTTTTTCAACATAACATTTAGTACAATGGCATTTTAG